TGACCATGTGGCTGAAGAGCCTTTGGAGCTAGTTTACGGGAGGAGTTTGGAGAAGTTTGGAGATTCCCCACTAAAGAAGCCCTAGAATAACGCAAGTGGAGCCTGGAAGATGATTCTGGTCAGGCTTGGAAGAACAGAATGCCAGTAGGAACGTGACCGACAGACATCAGGCTCAGGAGGTTTTAAGTGGAGACAAAAGCGGCAGTTGAGTTGGAGACCATGTATGTTACACTGTGGCAGAAAATTTGTCCACAATTTGTCCATGTCCTGAGACTTTATAGGAGACCGAGATAAAAGGGCAGTGGGCTAAATGATGACATTACAGAGCAGCTCAGATTTAGGCTGTGGTATGGATAGTGCTGGCTGCTTTTAGCCAAATTTGTAGTGAAAATAAGGGGCCAAAGGCAGAGCATAAAAACGTAAATGCTTAAATGTTGGCCTGGAAGGAGTATTATGTAAAGTTAGAGCCAAAACAGGTGTGGTTGTTAAAAAGATTTGCTGTATTAGAAAGGATCCGGATGCTTTGTGCAGGGACAAGAAAGATAACTTGAGGGCATCTCAGACATCAGCAAGACCCCATCCATCACGGGCTCAAGGATGCAAAATTTAAAGCTTATATTTGAGAAGGTGCCCTCTTGCCTCCTAGGGAACTGTTCCTCTGTATTCATTTCACCATCTTTAGCCATTAGTGCACTCAGAGGATGCTGCTGCCATGGTCCAAAGGGGCCAGGCTACTACTTCAGCGGAAAACAGGCCTGGCATAGTCTACATGCTGCCCGTTTTACCAGGGTACAAAACATGAGCTGTGGGTCAGGGAGGTTTCCCCCCAGATGTCAAAGAAAGTCCTGGGAGGCCACAAGGAGGCTGTGAGAGATCAGCACAAGAAGCTGTGGGAATGAAGCTAAAGGTGTGTTCGAAGCCCCAGGAACTTGGGAATTGCCGAGGACATGGAACGTCTACTGAGGAAAGTTGAAGGCAGTGAACAGAGACAGCCCAAGATAAGAGGCCCAGTGGGCTGTAAGCAGCAAGGCCATAGGGGTGGGGCTGCCCAAGCCGTCTGGAGCTCATATCCCAGCAGTGTGTCCCCCAGTGCTGGATATGGAGATACAGGGCTTACTGTCTGCCCTACTGGATTTCAGTCTTCCTATAGTCAAATTCTTTCCTGTCCACCTCTTCATCCCTTTTGGAATGACAGTGTTCACCTTGTACCATTGCACCTTAGTATGTATCTTGACTTTTTTAAAATAGTGATTCACAGCTAAGAGATTTCCCTGAGGCTCAGAAGAGATTTTGACTTTTGACTTGAGAACTGTTGCAGCTCTTGAGACTGTGGGAAGGATTATTGTGTTTCTGTTTGTACTCAGGGTAGCTGTATCATATGAGGCGGAATTATGAGCTCAGTATCATTACTGGGGGATTAAGTGCAGTGTAAGGAGATGTGCTTGGCTTGGAGGTGACAAGGAGCGGGATGTGGTGGTCGCGGTAGAGTGCCAACCTGATTGGCCTTTGGGTTTGCCTGGGGGTTCGCCAGACTTCTTGAGTGGGTCATGGAGGCGTGTCCTTCGGGTCAGTGTGTGGTCCCTTACTCTCTCCTCTCTGGCACTGTTCCTGCTCTGTGTCCTGATTACCATGAGCCAAGCAGCTTTGCTCTATAGCACTTCCACCTCAAGGTTCATGCTTTGGAGCTGCCAATCATGGACTGAATTTCCTGCAAACACAAGCAAATGAAACCTTTCTCCTTTAAGTTGTGTCAGGCCTTTTGTCTCAGCAACTGGAAATGTGACCAATACAGTGTTCATTTAATATATTTATTCTACTGGAAGAATTGGAGAAGGAAGGAGAAAGTGGTGTATAGGAGGGGACAGAGCTGTGCACCGATTAGAATAAAATCCTCGTTTTCATTACTGGAAAATTAAGAAGTAATCACTGAAGTAAAAAAAGAAGTATTCCTAATAGATGTGAAATTAAACCAAAAGAATCAGCTAAAAGTATTGACCATGTGTGCTCCTGGATAAAAGAAAATTTATGTGAGTGTGTCTGTGTGTCTGTCTGTATACCTGTGTGCCTCTGTAAGGGGTTGGTGCTGAAAGTTTGCTTTTAAAAAATAATAAGTCTTATAGAATTGTTTGAAAGTTTTAAATATCTGTATGTGTAACTTTGATTTTAAAAAACACAAAATAGTGAAAGGAAGCAAAAGTGGCATTTATCTTAGATGGATGGATAATTCTAATCAAGTATTAGTTTTGTAGAAAAGAGAAAATATGAACATAATGTAAGTGAGGAAAATAGAAATTAGAAAACATTATGGAATTTTTTGTTTGTTTGTTTTATTTTGTTTTGTTTTGTTTTTTTCCGGTACCAGGAATTGAACTCATGACCTCCCGTTTGCCAGGCAGGCACTGTGCCGCTGAGCTAAATCCCCAGCCCCAACATTATGGAATTTGATTCCATATAGTCTCTTACTTTACCAAGAAGAGATTGAGCTCATTCATGACTTCTGTAGAAAGTCAAAACAGTCCAGTATTAGAAATTGGAAATGGTGGGTGTGTGAATCTAGGAGGAATCCCAAGAGTCAGCAGAGTCAGCCTGACTAAAGAAGCTGAATATGCAGAGTGTTTTGTCAGTGAAAGTTTACAGATCTCTGTAGCAGCTCTACTGGGGAAGTGAACTTGGGGCTGATTCTGAGTGGGGACATGGTGAAGGGGAACTAAAGGGACGGAGAGATTCTCGGTAGCTCCTCGTCCCATAGCAGTCAGGCAGGCAGATGAAGCCAGGTTCAGGAAACATGAGGGAAAATGAAGAGATCAAGGAAGTAGACATCATAATTAGAACAGAAAGACGAAAGGGAGTACGAGATTGATGTCCAAGACCAAGGTTGCAGCTTTTGAGATTGTGGGGCAGAGCTTTCTCAAGTAGCAAGAGGGCCAGCCGCAGAAGGGTCAGTAGCAACAGTTGACAGTGATGTATCACAGAGGGAAGGAATCTGGCCCAGAGACCTGAGGAGCAAGGCGGAGATGAGAAACGACTGTGTGAACCAGGAAGAGCATAAGCGCAAGCGTGCTCATAGGGTTCAGTACCAGGAGTTGCTCCAGGAACGTCAGCAGCCCTGGAAACTGCGCTCAGGCATGGGGCCCTGTGTGCTCAGAGTCCTTTACCAGACCGCAAGCAGTTCATGTACCAAAGCATGGAACTTCTGAAACATGCAAATAAATTCGTGAGGAAAGCTGAATCTTTGTTGTATGATTTTTCTTAATAATTAGAGTGTATTCTAAATAAACCAAAAAACAAATTGATTGCCAAAAACCATGTTTATGCTCTTCTAATTCACAAAGGTTAAACACATAAAGTCAGGATATTGAAAATTAAGGTTCTCATAGAAACATTAATTTGACAACATTATGCGTACTAGGTGTGGGAGGTTTATATTTTACAGCATAAAAGGAGTAGGAAATTCTCAGTTAAACCCCATAAAATAACAAATTTGGGAGAAGTCATTAAACATGATTATAGAAAAAAAGTGTTTTGCAATCTCCAAACAAGGGTTGGTTGTACAACTTAATTTTAGAAAATAATGGGTTCACATCTTTTTGAAATGTATTTGATAAGATTGTTTACACTAAGTCAACTTTCCAAGCACATTGTACGTCCTGACATTGGTTTATGCTTCTCATTTGCAGTTCAGCTTTGAACCGGAAAAAGAACTAGCTGCCCATTTTCATCACCAAATTGATAAAGATTTTAAATTCAAAAAGTAAAATTTAAAAAATTTAAGAATTCCAAACAGGGCTTGGGGATATAGCTTAGCAGTACAGCACCTGCCTGACAAACATAAGGTCCGGAGTTTGATTCCCAGCTCCAAAAAAGAAGAATTCCAGATACCCTTTTGTTTTGATTTGCTATATGGACAATATGGGGGTATTTATGAAGAAGCCTGCCAGTGTACCATCGTGTTTCTAGGTTTGCCTTCTGTATATTTCTGCATGCTTTTTGCATGTGCACATTATGTACACACCAATCTGACCGTGCAAAATGCCCTATATAGGTAGCGTATAAAAGCTAGGAAGACTCTTAGGGAATGGTTAGTTTTACTCCTTCCTACCCCTGCTCCAGCGTCAAGCTACATAGCAGGCCTGGAAGCTTGTTCCCCAGGAGAACTGGATGGAGCCACAGGCAGGGGAGCAGCTGTCATCCTCAGCTTAGCCGCTGTACCCCGATTCTCTCTGTGTGTAGGACAGCAGCAGTGGCCCCATTGTCACCCCTTGTTAGGGTGTCACCTCCCAGTTCAATCTGAATTAGAAGCAAAGATGAAGGAAGAAGTTAAGGCCACGCCCGTGAGGTATTAACCTGTCTAATGAAGCCAAGGAAAACTTTCTCCTAAGAAGTTAGATGTTATGTCGCCACCATGACAATTTTAATTATTGCTCAGTTCCAGTTATTGTGAGGGTAAAAATCTTAGGACTGTACATCTAATACAAGTTATTTGGGGGGCAAAATTAACAAATAAAATCCAACAGACAAGCCCCCTCGAAGAAGTCAGATGACAAACTATAAGGATAAATTGACTTTGTGCTAGGGTCTCTGCTTTCCATTGTCTTGTATGTCATCCACAGCATCGCACAGAACAATGGAGGACCGTGCGTGGGAGTGGAATATGTAGCTGCCTGAGTCTGCAGAGGCCTGGGCCACTGTTCAAACCACCTCTTCAAACGGGGCACAATGGTCTGCAGTTTTCAGTGAAAGCCCTCTGCAGCCCCATTCCCATTCCGTGGCTGTCAACTCTTTATAAGCTCGTGGAGAAAAGCCGCTTTGTGTATTTACTTTTATCTTTCCCCCCTGCCACTTTCTGTTGCCAAACAAACAGAAGGACACATGCAAACTGCCAGCTCACATGATGTAGAAGCAAGTGCTTTTGCATATTCAGAAGTATGGTGGTATTTCCAAAGTTCAGCAACAAATCGCTTAGCATCTTTCTTTTGTTTTAATGTCCCTTCTTCAGGCACCACAAGGCCACATAAGGAGGGCGAGGTCCCTGGAGTGGACTACATTTTCATCACTGTGGAAGATTTTATGGAATTGGAGAAAAGCGGTGCTCTCCTAGAAAGCGGGACTTATGAAGGTAAGCGCCCCTCCCCGAGCAGTCTGCTCTTAGCTGCGTCACTTTACTTCGCACTTGATTGAAATTTATGAAAACACTGGCTTGCAGTGTGCTGGGGGTTCTGGTTTGAAAGCTTTAAGAAGACAATTTCAGAAACAAGTGGAAGTACATCTGGATTAATTCTACTCTTTAAGTGCTGAGAGAAGAATGTCTATTTATACCTGCTGAAGGGTCCTTGTGATTGGCTCTGAGGCAGAGCCGCGATCTTCCAGATAAAATGTACCTAACTGCAGGTCGTACCTACTAGAGAGCTGGCGGGGTGCAGGCCCAGTCCTGGCAATATCTGTGTGACACCCTCAGCCTGCTCCTTCTCCCTGGCCTTCACTCGCCATTCTTGCCACATGATGGGAGAGGAAAATGTGATCTGTAGATGGATTCCTAAATTCTACTCTGATAGCGAGTCTGCCTGTGTATTTTGGTCAAATACGAACAGCAGATGAAACCCAAACCTTCAATTCGAGAAGTGTGCATCAGTAGAAAGGGTGCTGTAATACGAACCAGAATTTGCTTCCATTCCTGATGTGGCTTTAGTTGCTTTAAGTGGGCTCATGGAAACTTTGTAGTATGGCTGTAGAAGGCCAAATGATAGCATTGAAAAATAAAAATAAATAGTACTATGCTCATATGAGCACAGTTGTACAATTTGTGTAACATTTACCTGCATTTGGTTTACGTCTAATGAAACTATATATATGTGCATGTGTAATAAGACTTCAGCATAACTAAAATGCAGAAAGCTGTACCATTCATCCCTACCTCATAGTTATTTATGTATGTAAGTCATATGCACTTATACTATTATTAAGTTCAAAGTTATACCTAGTTTTACAGAACTGTAATTCATAATGAGTGACATTAAAATCAAAATTTCTATGAATGAAAATTTAGCTCATCTAACTGAATTCTACCAACTGGCATCAAATAAACTGAGTTTGACATTTAATAATTTGGCCCTCCGTTTTCTTAGTTACACAATTTAGTGGACAGTAGTTATTTACAAACAATATTTTGAGGTTGTTAAAAGTGTTGAAATTTCTTCTATTGTTTAGTATTCCTAAGATAATTTAGACTGAGACATTTGTCTACATTATGGCTGAGATATTTAGTTATTTGTTGTCACATTTCCAGAAAATAGGCAAAAATATTCAGGAAATGGTTTTGTGTGCATTATGTCTTCATTAGATCGTTGAGAATAAAAGATAGTAGAGATTAATTGAAAACATTGTAAATAAACAAGCTGTGTTGATAATGTAAAGCTGATTTAAACTGTGTATGAAAGTGAATAAATCAGAGAAAATAAATCAAATGAGCAGAGTAAATAGGCAATACATTTTATAAAATATTTTCTGATGGGTTTTGTGATAGCAACAGCCATTAGTTTGCATGTCTAACAATGGTAATGCATTGCAGTTAATTACCTAAGTGTCCTATTTCTATAGTGAAGAACCAGTGACTTACCATACAGGATCGCTGTAAGAGTAGCCTGACTGACAATGTGACTTTTTCTATTTTGTTTACGAAAATAAAGACTGTTTAGTCAAACTGAGCATCTAAGCTGAAAAAATTAAGCCAAACATTTATTTAAAACTTTTCATTGTTCTTCACCTTCATGCTACAAAATTTAATATCCACATTTTTAAATATAGCTTAGGTTAAATTTTAGGTCCCATTTAATTTTAGAAGTCAATATCATGAAACCAAGTAAGCATTTACCAAGGTTTGTGAGCAGAGTAAATGAGACCAATTCTTTTTAAACATATTTCCAGTACTGAGAGTACACTTGGCTGGGGTTGGTGCCAATCCTTTTGTCACCTCCACAGTACGTACAGCTGAGTATTGTGTAATAAGACTAATTTTCAAATGAGACTTCATCAACGATACCAATGCCGTTATTTACAAATACAAAGTGTATATAGATAAAGGCAAATCTCTTTCCTCAGGTCATGTAGGCAACCTGGGTAGCCCCCAAGCAAAGATTAGCGAGTCTCTGGGTCTTCAGGTTTTCCTACAACTATAGCTAAGAATCCAGTAACATTCACTTTCTAATAAAAACCACTGCATTCCTGCAGGGATGGTCATAGAGCGACCACTTAGTGAGCTACTTGTCCAGAAAGATAGGCGATGCTTTTGCTGCCGTTGGTGTTTTCTGAATGTATGGGGTAACAGTCATGTGCTACTCAGCTGGACAAAGACAGACCTGAGTGAGAGCTTTTACATTTGTCAGGCCTTCGCAGTATCAACCTGGCATGCTGATTCTCTAATAAAAGTCGGGTCGTTCTCCCTCTGGCAGTGTGCCGGTCCTTGTTCACTTCTCTCCTGGCTTACGTTCTCTTCTCACTTCTTTAGAGGCTTTGAGTGGACCGGAAAATCCATCTGCAGTATTCCATGCCGATCCCAGAGAAAATGAGAAAGGCTTGAGTTACTTGCAACATTAAGCTCATAGACCTTCTGTTAACAACATGGGGTCCTTTTAAAACTAAGAGGATTCCCAAAAATTCAGTCTGCAGCCCAGAACAATAAGGCTACTAATGTAACTAAGAAGAAAAAGATAGCTCCTGTCCTACTTGACCCTCCCACAAGCCTCTCAACATGTACGTTGACAGTTGCTGCCCTTTTCTTAGTAGCAAAGACCAAAGGCATCCTTTATAAAATGTCTAGTTTCGCTGCTTGTCAATGAATAACCAAATCTCCTTGTTTTTGTGCTTCATTCCCACTACTTGGTTTTCAAAAACAAACACCTATAAAGTAGTCATGAAGAAATAATACATTCCTTGAAGCATTTAGTATGCATACATTTTTGTCAGTTATTCCAATTTCAATCTTAGTGGAAAGAGATAACTAAAATGAATCTGTCCTTTATTTTGTTGATTAGAAATCAGATGGATGGTACTGAATTATAGTTCTACTTCTTGAAAACTGGGTCAAAGATTGTACTCCAAAAGAGCAGTTCTGTTGCTTACTGGAGCCTGCAAGGAAGGCCTAACCTGCTTTAGCATCCGCAGTTATGCTTCAGGGCCCAGGCAGAACTGGTTCTTAAAGGGTTTCTTCTCTCCCACTCACCTCTGCCAGCCCGAATGCCTCATTCCAGTCACTATACAGCGGTTGTTGAATGACCTCACATGCCAACAGCCCAGAAGACCCGGTTGTGATAAAGGGATTTTTTTTTGTGACTTGGATGATCTCACCCTCACATTTTCATCCTGCATCAGATTTAAAGTTACATTTATGAATTTTATTACTAAAAATCTGTTAATAATCTAGAATTGATTAATAGAACAAAGCCTGGCCACGAACCTGGTGTAATTCCAAGTAGCAGGAACAACACCGTGAAGCTTCGCATTAGGACTGAAGATGAAGGCTTTCTGTGAAGCACAAGCCAAAGAGCTCTCTGGATGACCGCACATCGCTCTCTTGGAATGAAGCTCACAGGCAGGGGTAGGCGAGACAGCACCGGGTAGGATTAAATGAGCCCGTCTGGTGCTCAAAAGGTTAAGGACGCTAAGGATGACAGTGCTTTGGGGACTGTCCAAAGTGAATTATCCAAGGCTCTGAATCAGTGAGTCCGTCCTGACCTACTTCTTCCCGTTGCCTGGAATGTTGCATTCATGGTTTCACTCACCACCCACAACAGCTGTCTGCTGCAACCTGTGTTCTGAATGCCATCATCAAGTAATCCTGTGTCCCCCAGCTGCTCCCGGCTGCTTTCACATATCAAGGTTATCCCTGCCATGTTCCAGACCAGCATTTCCATCGAAACTATCGTGTTTTTCTTTTGTATTTTTCAAATAAAGCAAAAGTATTTTTTAATCTATCAATGAGAGCCTCAAATTAAATATTTCTTTTAGATGGACATAAGACCAATTGTTAATTCTCTCCAATTTTTAAGAGAATCAAGTCAAGATGCGTAAGTTATTGGGGAATCTGATAGAATACAGTGTAAATATGACATTTGCCCTCACCTTAACTCTATGGCTTCTCCTAATCATGGTGGTGTATATATTACATGAGAGAAGCTTGAGTCTACCACAAACAGCACACTTGATTTCATAAAGAATTTCATAAGGATCATTGTGGAATTGAAATCTTCTCAAACTGGATATAAAAGAGTGCTGTATATTGGGAATTTTATAACAATTCCATGTTAAGTAGAAATAATTTTCTAGGGAAATAATCTAAGCACTCCTATAATGATAGAAGAGGTAAAACAATTTTACACAAATATATTTTATTTTTACTATCAGGTGTGTTAAGGATAGCATGGGCTCATTTATTATTGAAATTCTGAATCTCTATTTTCAGTTAAATCACCGTATTATTGGCACAATAGTCTTATGAAAAACCATCTTTCCATAGGTTGAAATTTCTACTCACCAAAATGTAATTAATATTTCCTAAAGGACAAATCTGTGCTTAAATTGATGCTCACATATTTATCCTTCCAGGAGACCAGAATGAGAGAAAATTTCATTTTTTTTCTTTCCCTTGTAGACTATTTTACTCTGTCACAGCAGTAGGGTTTTGGAGCTTGTGGTTAAAATGGTCCAGCTGTTCTTACATGCCCAGGTTGTAACATTTTTTAAGCTGATACGTGACTCATCTCTTTTATTGTCAGTATTCCTATCGTGGAAGTTTCCGGGCTATGCATTTGAGTGCATATTTTAGGGACACTGAACATCCACCCATAAAGCGCATTCGATGTTTATTTGACCAGTACGGGAAAACACATTTAGTGACTTTTTTATACCCCCTTGAGATCTTATAATGCCAGTTGTTTGTTTGTTTGTTTGGTTTTTGTTAAGTGATTCAATTGTGTTCAGAGCTATTGATAGAGATTGCATGATTTTTGTATGCTGTTTTGCTCCTGTGTGATGCATTTAGATCAGAAGTGTTGTTGTGCATTAAAATGTGACAGAATTCTGTTTTCTTTTGAGCCTTTTGTAAGCTGAGCCTTTTCAAAATAT